CAGCACCGGGGAGGGAGGGAGGGACGGATGGATGGAGGGGGCCCCTTGTCTGTATACAGATCGGTACAAAATGCTAACGTGTACTGGGGATACAACATGAAGCCCGGATAGGGCTGCGGCAGGGCCCTGGCAGTCAGCACGGCTGCCCCGAGCAGCTAACAGCAGCCGCACGTCACGGTCCTTCTCCTCTGGTGTCCTTCAAAGCCCCGGGCTGGGGGATCATTCCTCCTTGGGCAGCGTCTGCAGCAGCAAAGGGCTGCCGTAGTGAGTTGTGTAAACATAGGAAATGCCGTTGGATCAGGTCTACGGGATAGGGTTCAGATTAACTTTGAGAGCACGACCCCGTTCCAGGCTGGCCTGATGGCTTTTGGGATACTATTGCTAGAAGAGAGTGGCCGCCCTTGCCTGTAAAGAACGTGGCAGCTGCTTTTACATTGATGGCAACTGAAGCTGGGGCTGCTGGAACTGGAGAGGAGCAAACTTCGTCACTTGTGACAGACACCTGTTGTGTCAGATGCTGAGCCTGGAAGGAAGCCAGGAATGGCAGAGAGAACCCTCTGTGTGGAGGTAAAGGGAGATGATAGGGGAGCGTGGAGGACACAGGCATCCCCCTCATCTGAAGGAGTTGGAGGAGGGTGTACAGCTGAAGAAGTCCTGGCTGATCTGGCGTGGGTAGCCCTCCAGCACTTTCACCTGGACTGGATCAAACTTCCAATAATCTCGGCCTCTCAGGAAATAGGCAAAACCTGTGGGTGAGAGAGGAAGGTTTAGAAGAGGCAGCATTCAGGTGGCTCAGAGCTCTTTCCCAGCATTTTGTTCAGCTGCCACTCTGCAACACATGAAGTACTGAAAGAGAGCTGGAAGAGGCAGGAGATTTTACTTGAACCCAGGCTTGAGCCATTCACTTTCACACTGTTTTAGTTTCGGTAAAAAATCTAGTTTTACTTTTTGGGCAGTAAACAGGATGGATTTATTTTATTTTCCTGGTGGGTTTAAATATGCTATACACTTGTAGTGACCCAGCCCTGTGAGGGCAGACGATGTCTAGGACAGGGACAGGCAACTTGTGAAAACCTGCTCAGAGCATCTGTTACTTTGGGCAAGCTGCCCTGGAATTTCGGTTCTGGAAGCAGTGGGGAGTTGTTTCCTTTCATCCTTAGGGAGGAAAGAGGCGCTCACCACACCTGTCCTCCCAAGCACCCTGGCTGTCCCCAGTGTTTCTGTGGCACTGCCGTACTGTTTTCAGCACGGGGCACATTGGGGAGGACTGGTCAGTACCAAAAGCAGCCTGTTCTTTGCTCAGCTCCCTGGGTTGAAGTGTGGGCACTGTTTCTGTTGTCTTCTCATCACTTCCTCTCGCAGAAGCAGTAAGAGGTGGGCAGGACTCTGTGACCATTCCCTGGTCAGACATTTGACTTTTCCCTATCATACATAGCATATCATTTTCCATATCATACATAGCAGTTGCTACAATTAATGAGAATGAAACGTCTCAATTCTCTACCCACTGGAGGAAATTGCCCCTCTACACTGCATGGGATGTGTTATGGTTGGGAAATGTCCACTGCTACCACATGGCTAAATGTGCCCAGCCCTTGCAGCTGGGCAGTGCTGTCAGGCAGAGCAGGCCATGCCCCATGCACTGACCGAGCTCGTCCTGAAAAGCAGCGTCGATCTCCGGCGGGACGCCGCGCCAGTCGGCCATAGCCCGGGGGTAGATGTTGTCCACCTGGCGCCTGTGGGGGTTGAAGCGCCAGTAGCTGCCTCCACTGAAGATGTAGATCTTGTTCTTCTCAGCCCCCCACACCAGAGCTGCCTGCACAGGGGATGCAGGGAGGCCCAGCTCCACGACTGGGGTGGGACCAGATACCCGTCTCTCACCATCATAAATCCAGTATTGAGAATCTATTGAAGAGAAAGAAAAGGGAAACAAGGGGTCAGAGACTGGTAATTTGGCAGTGAACTGTGCAACTGGGGCTGGGGCCTTGGCAGAGCTCCCACGGGAAGCTGTGCCTGAGAGGCAAAAAGGCAAAACCACCACCGAGTGTAATGGACGCTGCCACTGTTGTGTGTCCAAAATGCTGTCAATGCATTGACATCCCACCTCAGTCCAGCCTGGTGGGTGTTAGGGGACAGGAAGGTCCATTTCAGCAGCATTTTGCTCTGTTTGTGGAAGTTATAAAGGACTTGGCTGGAGGAAGCAGCCTCTGCCCTGCGACCTCAGCACTTTGAAATCATGTGGGCATGCACAGACACAAAGAGTGGCTGGAAAGAAGCGATCTGCAGAAACCAGGAAGAATTTGCCAAGTTGAAATAGAGACTGGAAGCATAGTTCCAGATTAGATTAAAATGGGAATCTCTGTAATTAGCCTACGGCGTGTAATACTTTCCTCTTATCTCATTTTAACTCACGGTAGGAGCCTGCCAATTTGAGCACTGTAAGTTGTTGTGTGCAGGTCAGGTGCTCAGAAATGTGTTTATGCAGGAGCTCTGCCTGCAGAGCCACTGGTGTGGTTTTGGTACTCAGTCTCATGGAGTGCAGACAGGGTGTGCACACCCACAATGAGTTCCCATGTCATTCTGCATCCCTCCTATTAAACCTACACTTGGGAAGAGTATTAAAGAAAACAGTGGAGCTGAATTGGGATTTGTTGCCCCAGAGATGGCCAGAAGCTGGTTTTGTTTTTAATCTTTCTGGGTGCTGGAGGTTGCCTGGCTCTTGCACCCAGGCTTTCTGTATGCTCATAAAGTCATGGGCTGCTCGGGAAGTTCCACATCCAGGTCTCTGAGGAGCAGAGAAAATGTTGTCCCCACCCTGAGCAGGGCCCTGGGGACACAGGCACAACCAGGGGAGCTGCTGTGGGCCACTTCTGGCACAGACAGCTGGAGAGATGGAGCAAATGTTTTCCTCCTTCTTCTCTGCCGGGGCAGAGGCTCATTACAAATGTTTGTGTTCCAGGGAAGGAGAATGGGATATTGTGGCTGTGTTTGAAACAAAAGTGACCCCTTGTTCTCTCTTCTGTCCTCAATACCTGATGAAAAGTTTAAATAGATAAGGAAACAAATAACAAGAATTACTGCATTGCTGAGGATTTTCAGGAGATTTACTCTCTCGGGAACCTGCCGGGTCCTGACTACCCCTAAGTAATTGAGATTCATTTCTGAGCCATCTGATCACAGTCCAGTTCTTACCTTGGAAGAACCAGATGTTGCCCAGAGGGTCCTCAAAGGTGGCATCGACAGAGCTGGGGATGCCCTGCCAGTGGCGAGAGGCCAGAGCTGGGTAGCCATCCTGCAGCTTTCCAGCCCGGAGCCGCCACACGTAGCGGGACCTGAAGAAGAACAGCTCCCCTCGGATGGTGGCTGCAGCATCGAAAGCTGCGTGGCAGGCGTCGGGCTGCACAGCCTGCCAAAGCACAGCGGGTCAGGGCTGCCAGCCAGGCTGGGCTCAGCCCAGGGCAAGGCCCTGTGTCCAGGCAGCTGCCCAGGGATCCCCTCCCAGCCGTGGGGTCTGGGCCTGGGCTCAGCAGCGTTGGTGGAGGAGGCAGACACTGACTCAGGCTGCTGCCAGCCTCCTGGGGAGTGTCAGGGAAGGGCACAGACCGGCCACTCACTTACCTCCACGTTGGTGATCTCATTTGTTTCGAGGTCTGGCTGGGCCAGCTCTGCTGGCTGAGTTGGGGTTGGGTCAGGGTCTGGTGAAGGTTTCCCATACAGGTACTGGATACCTTGCTTGTCATCCTCACTCAGGCTGAGGGGGTAGCGGAAGATGTAGAAAGGAGACATCAGGGACTTGGAGACAGCCGTGTGCTGCAGGCCCAGGACGTGGCCAAACTCATGAGCAGCCACTTGCAGAAGGTCAGTGCCTGCAAAGGGAGAAGATGGAAGATGCTTTTGTCTACTCACATGCTTGGGCCTCCTGGGCCTGTTCCTACCAGTTACCAGACACTGACGTGTCTTGGAGGAGTCCAAAAAGAGAAAAGAGAAATCTACTTCCAACTATGTTGTTCCCAGGTATCTCCTGTGTAGCTCCAAAATATGTTTGTGGGGTTTTTTTTTCAAGGAGTCAGAAGGTGTAATAAAGGGGTTCAGTGGTTCAGAAGCAACATGAGTCAGTTCATACACTTGGGTATTAACCTGGACATGTTGGTATTTTGCAATTCTGTTGTCAGAGGCTCTTGCCACTGGCTACCAGCAAGAAAAGGATTTTCTTCTGGAAAGGAGAAATTTGCATAAAGAAGAAAGTCTAGACCAGATGTGTAGGAGGTGGGGTGGCGAGGTTGGTGTTTGTCCACCCAGCCTTGGAGCAGTTGTTGGCTAGGGCTGAAGTTTAGCTAGTCCCAGTTAGATCACATCCACTGTGGAAGATACTGGTGTCGGTGAGAGAACTCTGGGACTAACACTTGCCAAAGGCTGTTGTTACACAGACAGCAGAGGGAGCTCATTTATTGCTTGCCTGGGGACTGTGTCAAGAAGGTGTCATTCAGAAATAAACCCATAAAAGATGGTCTAATGTCAAGGCCTGAGACTTCTTCACCAGGCTTAAACAGATTTATGGGAGACCATGTTTTAGGCATACATGACCTTGGAGCATCTACAAAAGGAGAGGGGGAAAAGGGGATTTCAGTACACAAACTTGTATTTATTTGGCAGGTTTTGTTTAGCTTCCAATGGGCCCTTTTTAAAGGTGGTAAATTTTACTATGAGTGGAGGCTGTTTGTTGACAAGTCCCAGCATATTCATTCACTTGCCTTCAGCCAGAAATCCTCCAAGCTGCAGCCCAAGTGATGAGAACAGCAGGGATGTGAGTCAGCCAGCCTTGATGCTCCAAGCAGGATTTCCAGGGGAGCAGGTCACTTTTCAGCACCAGGACCAGGGAGAATAGGGTGGGGAGAAGGCCTGGGAAGGGTGGAGGGGAAGGTGAACCCCGGCCTTTCCCCACTGGCCAGCTTTACCTGGAAGCGATGAATTTACACCGCACTGACCTGATTAAATCAACACATCTAGGTCAGCTGAGAGAGTGGGATTTCTATGCCAGTGATTTATTACAAACTTTCAGACACTTCTGTTTAGCTTGGCAGGCTTCTCACTTGCTGCTTTCCAGTGTTGGCAGACGAGCTGTGCTGTCAGATTCTCCAGGGGAGGTGCACAACAGCAGGGCTGGAGGAGCCGTGCTGGGCAGCATCCCTGTGTCCCCCATGGATGGTCCTCTCCATGGGGCCCTGCTGCCTGCACAGCTCTGGAGTGACCCCAGGGCACACTTGTGCTCTCCCATCAGTAAAATGAGGTTAAGGATTTCCCTGTCTCACTGAGAGCTGAGTCAAGGATTTATCCATGTTTATATCGTAAAGCTCTTTTCAACATATTAAATGGCAATTAGCTCCAAAGAGCTTTTACAAGTTATTTATGGATGATATGGGGGGAGGGGGAATACCATGAAATAGAGCTGGATTCTGATGGGAACTAGGGTCCATTTTCAGTTCCTGGTTTGCCCCCAACACTGTTTTATGGGAGAATGCAGGAAATTCTTCAAGAACACAGGCAACTCCAACAGAGGGTGAAAACCAACAGAGTCCAGCCCTCCCCAGGGAGCAGGAACACTTCTGCAAAGGGGTCCTGAGCTCTGTGATTCTTGTTTTGGGTCAGCATGAGCAGGGTTGGAGACACAGCAGTGCTATGCCCCATGCAGTCAAACTGGCTACAGCTGACACTGGCTTTGAGGGAGCCCAGTGACACAGCCAATGTTTTTGGGAATCCCCAGAGAGACCTGGGGTTAACTTGGACTTTGTGATTATTTCTTTGTAGATAAACTGGGAAGGAGGAGGAGGAGCTGACCTGGGTTAATTTTGGTGAGTCTTCCAGAAACTGATGCTGTGGGCACTGCTCCAGATGGTCCCAGGCAGCACAGCAGTATCTCATGAGATACTGTGACACCAGACCCTGAGTACCCAAGCAAAGAGCTACCAGCTTGGATCTATTATTAGCAAAAATTTTAAAAAGAGTCTTGACTGGATGTGGTGTTGTTTATGGTCAGAGCATTCCCAGGCCACAGGGACAGAGCTGGAGCCTGGGTGGTTTCCCTTTATGGACTTGTTTGAGGGCTGATGGTGAACAATGCATGCAGGGACTGGGACTGAGACCGTTCTTTGGCAGACAGCGGTGTCACGTGGAGCTTGAGCCTCAGTTCTCCTTCATCCTTTCCTCGTTTCATTTCTAAGGACTCCTGCCAATGCCAGGTGCCATTCCCAAGTGGCAGGGCACATGGCTGGGCAGAAGAGCCATCTCTTGCTCCCCCCACACAGGAGGAATCCATGGGGAAGCCGGATCCTGCTGCTGGACACCGGCTCTGCTGTGGCTGAAAGATAAAAAGACCTGAACGCTATCAGCAGGCTTCCAAGTGGTGGGAGAAGCCAGTGCTTTCCACAAAAATAGTTGTTGCCTCTCAGTTTTACAGGGTTCCTGTTCACACCCCAGGGAATCATTTCCAAGTTCAGTGACAAACATCCTGGAGCACCCCAGCTCCCCTTGATACAGTTCCGTACCCAGGTTGTTCCCAATCGTCCAGGTCTCGTCATAGTCAAAGTGAACGTCTCCTTCCCGGTGTGTCTTGGGGAAGAAGGCATGTGCCAGGATCCCTCCGGGCCCATCGAAAGGCAGGTTGTCTCCGTGCCAGTACCTGGGGAGAAGACACATTGCACCTCAGACAAAGGGCTGTGGAGCTCCAGCATCACATAGCCAAAGGTGGCAGCCACTGAGAAGGGACAGCAGCTCTCATTCCCATCCTAAGCTCATCCCACTGGTCAGATCAACTGCTCAGAACTGTTTGAGTTGCCACAAGCCAAATTCTGCATCAGAGCACTCAGGAAGCAGTTTGATCACACCAAGCACTGAGGAAGCAGATCTCAGTAACACCAAGCCCTCCCAAGAGGAGTTTGTTTGTTTTCTCAGGGATGTTTCTCCCCTTCCCTTCTTCAGCTTCCAGCCCAGAGCTGACTATGGAGCCTAAAGAATTAAGGAGGTGACCGCCTGAGCCAAGACTGAGTTGATATTACTCAATAATAGTGGTGGGGGGCTGCAGAGGGGCAGCTGGCAGCAAAGCCAGCCAAACTCTCAGGTCCTCACTCAAGCCAAGCTGCTGATGAGTAATGAAGGAAACCCAGGAGAGATGTGGCCACTTGAGAGAGCTGAGGGAGGCAAACACACAGCATGCAAATCACATCACTGCTTGGACAGTCTCCACTGCCCTCATTAGCTCTGTGCAAACACGCAGCTCAGGGAAGTCTTTGCCCCAGTGCGTATTTTGCCAAAAGGGAATTTCAGGCCAGGAGCCAAGATTCACTTCACCAAGAAACTATATTTGTCTTTGGGCAGACAGTTACATCGTTCAGTCAAGGATGGAGGACCTGAAGATGGAAAGTCAAAACAAATGCTTAAGAAAACAGCCTGTGGGCAGAGAAACGTGAATGTACCAGGAAAATGAATGAATGATCCGTAACGGTGCTGTGCACAGCCAGTGTGGAACAGCTGCAGTCACACCAAGCAGCCCACGACTGACAGAACTAAAATGATCCCAGTGTCTGAAAGCAGAAATATGAGTCTCCATTTAAGTGCCCAAGTTGTGTGCTGGCAGCTCTCTGCTCTGGTTCCAGCTGGGCCGTGCTGCCCGCCCTGCTCACCTTGTGAAATCGATGACGATGTCAGCCCGTCCCTCCTGCACCTCGGTGAAGGTCAGCGGGGTCACATCGCTCCAGACTTTCAAAGCTTCCTCAATGGTCCTTCTCACTTTAGCTTTTACAAGTTGCCATGGGAACCTGATAATTCTGGAAGGCAACAGACACCGGGGGAGGAGAGGGTCAGCTGCTCTCCCATGAACAGGGCTGACACCAGTTCCACAGTCAGCATCACTAGGGCCACCACCCTCAGCACCAGAACATCTCCCATCTGTACATGCCCTGCTCCAGCACGTTCTACCAGGCAACATGTGCAGCAGAGAAATCCCACCAGTGTTGAAATCCTCTGGCTGGTGTGCCAGAGTTGAGTTCCCTGGATAGATTCTCTGTTGTTCTGAAGTGCCACAGCACTCCCCAGGTCTATCCCCTGGAAGGCCACCACCACAAAGATTCCTGAGAGCAGTGTGATGTGGTTTCTTCTCCTCAGTCTCTGCATTTTTTGCCCCTGGAAACTTGGGTTCACTCAGCAGTTGAGCAGTCTGAAAGGTCTGCCACAGAGGGAGGTTTCTTTCCTTTCCACTAACAGTGTTGCTCTATGTAAATCTCTGCCGTGTTTTTTTCTTTAACACTATTGACCAAAAAGAAATGAAAGGAAGAAGCCTTTCTGTTGTCTACAGCTTCCTGATGGTGTGAGGAGCTGTCTCCTGTATTGGATTAAGCAAAAGATGATTTACATGCTGTCAAGGTCCATATGACTGCGCTCACTTCTCCACTCATACCCCTGAGGGCAGCTGGGGAGGCAGCACAGCCCTCCCACCGATTGAGTAGATTCACCACTGAGAACGTGTGGGCTGATTTGGGCAAAACTTTACACTGAAGTGCTGTTTATGGGACCATCAACAACGGCTGAATAAAAAGATGTTTTTAAAAGAAGCTGTGAGGCGATCCCCCCGCGGGTGGCTGCAGGGCCGAGGCGGGGGGGAGGCTGAGCGCAGCCCGTGTGAGGGCAGTGAGCGCAGGCTGGCAGAGCAGAGGCTGAGCACACCGTGCTGCCCAGGCTGCCGGGAGCTGGGTGTGTGGAGTGTGCCCCTCAGGGGAGGCTACACTGCAGGGTACGAGCCCAGCGTGCTTCCTGCAGCCCTGCGGCTCTCAGGCTCACAGCTCCGGGGAGCATCACACACCGAGCGCTCGCGGAGGGAAAAGCAAAGCAGCCTGAGCTCCATTCCAGGCCTCCCTTACTTGTAGGTGAGGTTGGTTTTGTCCCAGCGTCCCCCGGAGAGGACGAAGCGCTTCTGGCGGTTGCGGCCGCTCTGGCCGTCGGGCAGCAGGGGCAGGTCGGGCACGCCGCAGCGAGGGGGGTTCCAGGCAGCCGCAGGGAAGCCCTTGGCAGGAACACCCGTGCCCACAGCCAGCCACGGAGCCTGCTCCTTCCAGGTGTGATGCTTTCGAGACACGTCCTGAAAGGCAAAAGCAAAACCACGACTCCGGTGTCCGTGAAGACGCTTCCTGCTCAGAGTGGCACAGCCACAAACCGCTGGCTGCTTCCCCAGCAATGCAGCAATGAGCTCCAGCTCTGCCCACGGCTGTTCACAGCCTGCCCCCACAAACGTGCCGTGCTCCTGCTGCTCTGAGGCTGCCTCACACCTGGGAGGGAGGCACTGTGTCATGCCATGGCACCCACTAAGCACTGCGTTATTTTTGGGCCACGTTTCCTTGGCAGCTGGCCGGCAGGAAATACTTTTGCAGGCTGTGGATGAGAACCAGACCCTTCAAGTATAAAACAAATCACTAGGGAATAAATTCTCCCCCTTTGCCCTACATCCTTTATTCCCTCCTGGCTCGGTAGAGGTGACATTAATGGGAGGAAGTCTTTAGTCCCCAGCACGCAGTTGTGTTCCCTGTTGTCACTTCCGTGGTGTCCTCTTGCTGTCCTGGCACGGTGGGCAGGTGTCAGCATGGCCAGGGTACGTGGCAGAGCAGGACACAGGGATGTGGGGGTGACAGCCAGCCCATGGGGCACAGAGCAGCAGGGACTGTCCCTGCAGCCCCCGAGGAAGGACTGCACCATACCCCCTTGTCTCACTGTACCTGTGATTCTGCTCGGGATAAGATCTCCTGGGCTCTCCCACAATTAGTTGGAAAATCAAGGTTTCTCTTGTCAACATTAATTAATGCTAATTAATTAATTAATTAATATTAATTATTAATTAATTAATTAGCTGACTTCCACTGCTTTCCCACGTGACAGCAGGACTATATTGCCACCATGAAACACAACCCAGGTGTCATCTCCAGCCTGCTGTGAGGTGTGTGGGGTGAGAGGTGCTCAGTCAACATCACTAGGCTGCAGAGGGCCAAACACAGATTTTTTTATTTTATTTTTTTGCCTGATTTTATTCAGCAAATGTAAAGGTGTTTGCAGCGGTGGATCTCTACCAGGACAGGCTTTGTCCTACAGGGATCCAGAGGGAGGACCTGGGCTTTAGGCAGGCTCTTTCTTCCCCTGCAGAGAGCTGCCTTCTTCCAGGCCAGCTTTCCTGGCTGCCCTGCCAGGGACACAAAGGTCAGGATGGCCCAGTGCCAGAGCTGCCATGATGCCGTGTAATCCGCATGCTGCCACCACTCTGCTGTCCACAATGGGCCCATTCATGCGGGCTGGAATGAAGTGTGAAGGCCCTGGCGTTAATTCCACCGCTGAGCTCCGGCCCTGCACTGGCCTCTGGGCGAGGCACAGAGGGACAGGGGAGCCAGGGAGGTCACACAAGATGCACTTTGGGTGTCCATGCATCACTTCAGGCTTCACCGCTCTAGCCTGCTGTCCCCAGACAGACAGACAGACAGACATCCTTGGTGGCCTGGCACCTGCCTTAGAAGTATTGATGCAGTCCTGATGTCCCAGTGCACTTTCACACACCACAGGAACTGCACTGGCAACACATGGTGAGAGGGAAAGCGTTTTTCACATCCTGAACAGCGAAACCTGTCCAAGCCACCAGCCACACACTGAGCATCCATTCAGAGCTTTAGGGGGAGGAGGAGCACTGTCCCAGCCTGCACAGGGCTGCTCCTGCTGAGCACTGGAGCCCTGCCAGGCTGGAGATACCTGTTTCTCTAAGAGGAGTTCTCTGAGAGCCACCTGGCACTCTGGCTGGGCTGGCAGCTACTGCCTGCAATGGGCAGCTGGCAGGAGAAGCTGACAAAGTTCATGTTCTGGCCAACATCTTGCTCTCAGTCTGATGACACCCAGGCACGTGATGGCAACTGTGCCACCGAGCACAGCCTGGAGGGGTGCTCAGCCCCTTGCTCCTGGGTGCACTCAGGAGCACCCACTGCCAGGTCCTGACAGCTGAGGACTTGGGGTGATGAATGCATCTGGTTTTCCAAGGCCAGGAAGTGCAGGAAGTAGGAGCACTGGGAAACCCTCGAGAATTGCTCAGGTAGGTGAGTGGGCTGAGGCTGGCCCACATTTTTTATCCTTTACCCCTCTTTTTCTGTCTTGATGATGCTCTGCACATTCCCCTCCTGGGAAGGGCAGCTGCCTTACAGGCTGGGACCACTGGCATAAACTGGAGATTACCACTCTCCTCTGCCCAGGAGCAGAGAGAGGAGAAGCTTACCCTGAGGAATCCCATGTTTAGAGGCGCACCAGAGGCAGCTTCTTCCTCCCCTCTTCGGTTAGACCAAGGCCTCTGTTACAAATCCCAGCTTTCTAAACCCCACTGTGCAATACCAGGACCCTCTCTGCTCCTCCTGCCCTTTGCAGACTCGGTCCTGGAAGGGCCCTGTGGTCCTGTGAGTGGCTCTGGGTGTGGCAGGAGGCAGGACCTGCCCTGCTGCCCTGCGTGTGCCCCAGACAAACAGCGGCTCTCTCCCTGTCGTCACTGCACCGACTGCAGGACCATGGCAGGAAGGGCTGGAAAATGCCACTGCAGGCACAGCCGGCGAGGGGAAATGTGACAGGCACAAACCACTTGCCAAACATTGTCCCAGGGGACACCCAGGCTGGAGATCTTGGTCTCCTTGGCTGGACACACCTTGCTGCAGGCACTTCCCAGGGATTAGATATCGCATCCGCTTGCTTGAGGTTGCATCTTTCCCAGGCGGTGCTGAGCCCAGCCTCTCGTGGGGAGACCCTGCTTTGCTCCCTGAGCTGTGGTACCACACCCCACTGCCCTGCTCAGGGCTCACCCAGGGCCCTGCTGCTGCTGCTGAGGCTGCTGCAGAGCTGGGCTGGAGGGAGGAGGGCCCTGGCTGCTGGGTACCTATCAGGGCATCCCCACTTGTCCCATCCCACCAGCAGAGGGGAAGGGATTCCCGAACACAAAAGCAAAGGAAAATCCCTGCAACCCTGGACAGGGTTTGTCCCATCAGAGTGCAAAGCAGAACTGAGGCTCTGGCTGAGTGTGTGCAGCCACCTGCACTGCCCCTCCCTGTGTAACCCATAGCTGGGGCAGCTGCTGGGTGTGGGAACAGCTGGCTTGTAGTCAAGGAAGAGCCCAGGGCTTTGCAATAGAGGCTGGCCAGTAAATGTGAATATAGCACAAGCACAGAGAGGATTCCAGGCCTGAAACCAAGGGCTGAGGGCAGTGAGGACAGCAGAGGAGCAAAGCTGTACACAGAGAGAGGGCTGTGCTGCAGGCTGGTCACAGCTCTTCACAAAGAAAGTGCCTCTTCCTGCAGCCTTGTGACTGAAAGGCTGAGGGGGAGCAGGAGGGAATGGACAGATCCCATGGGACAGCAGAAACCACAGCAGAGGTACAGGCTGCCCACTCAGTTCCTCACAGCTTTATCAGCCCTCGAGTGCTGTGATACAACAGCCATCACCTCTGGCTCTGCTGGAGCCAGATGAACACCAGCCAAGCTTCCCAGGAAGTGTTCCAGCCATCCCCAGGAGCATCTTTAATCTCACTGTGTTGGGCAGCACTCGCCCTGCAGAGCTCCTGGGAGGAGCAGCAGCAGAGCCACAGCGGCGTATCAGCAACACCACATCTAAACCAGCAAAGCGGGGCTGGTGCCTGGTGCTGACAAACCCACGGCTCTCCTCTGCCTGGGCCCGTCCTCCTCTGCCTGCCCTGAACTTCCACTTGTGTCCTCTGTTGTGTACCTAATTACCTGGGCTCCTGCCTGCTTCTGTGGCATGGACATGAAAGGAGACCCCTCTCCCTGTCAGACAGGAGCGACTGGACAAGTTACAGCCTGAATCCCATCAGTCTTGGATGCTGCCCCTGTCACTGGGGCTGTTTCCTCTTAAGCTGGGGAATGAGCTCATGGACTCTGTCTCCATTTCCCTGTCCCTTCTGCTCCTGCTTTTCCATTGCTTCTGTTTCTGCTTTCTCTGTTTGTTACTCAGAGTGTTTGTCCTGCTGTTTGCTGTCTCTGTGGCTGGCAGCATTATCCTCCTCCTACCTACGAGCCTGCACCTCAGAGCACTCCTGCCCTTATTTCAGTGGGGAAGGACAGCAGGGACGCTTTCTCTTGCAGTTCTCACACAAGACAGTTCTCTCACCCCATTTTTGCCCACAGTGGGGTGGCTCTGCACCCCCTGGACAGCAATGTTCCTATCTGAGATCAGCACTTCTCCTGCTGCATAGACAGATTTTTGTCCAGCCTGCCTCTCTGCCCAGCATGGACTTGCAGGGGTTGGATCTGAAAATGCAGCTGATGGTTAATGGTAAAACTGGAACCAGCTTCATTCTAGTCAGGTTGTGTTCCAGGAGCAGGCTGGGCTCAGAAGGTGCTGATGCTGCAGGTGAAATTTCATGGCAGAAACAGGAGTGTGGTGTGGTCTAACCCTGAGCTGGACGTGCACTGACAGTGGAAGCAATGCCTGGGCAAAACCACCAGATTTATTGACCCTGCCTTCCCCAGGACAAGGCAGAGTCTCCCAACCCCTCTATGAATCCTTGCTCACACAAAACATTTCTGCTCCAGGACTGGCCCCTCCATGCTGGGCTGCAGCCGGGTCCCGCTGCAGACAGGGCACAAAGGCTGAGGCCAAACAGGAGCTGCTGCAGTGCCTGGCCCTGCACACACAGTTGGATTTTCCTCTCCACTCACTTCCCTCACCCCATGGCACCATCCAGCACCACCTCCTGGGGCCTGACACTTTGTTTCCGGATTACTTGGTGGTAGTTGTTGTTGGCAGCAAAAAAAGGAAAATGTTTATTTTCCCTAAGCAACGTGGAACATGAAACATTATGGACTGCAAATGTTTATGCCCACAGACAGAATGAGGAGAACCAGGCTTTGGTGTAACAAGAGAAAGCAAATGAATAAACACTGCAGGACTATTTTTATTATCAGACATTTTAATTACGTGACAGTTTGTGAGACTATTCCATCAACAACAGCACAACCAAGCTGCTGGTGTCACCCAAGCAACAGTTTGCCAGAAACAGGAGAACTTGCAGAGCAAACAAGCCCCAGGATGCTGACATAGCAAAAGGTTTCAAGAGCCCTTAATCTGATGACCTAGAATTCCCCTTGAAACGAAGAAACTGCTCAAGGATGTGGCACACTCCTGGCAGGGGAGGAGGGGGTTGAGATGTTTTGTTCATTGTGCACTTACATCCAAGCTAAGGGGAGCCATTGGCTACCAGTGCCTCTCTCCTGCCCAAATCCACTGAGAGGAGGAAGCCTGGTCACCTGCCTGTCCTTGCTGGAACTCCTCTATCTGCACCAGGATCTCAGTGAACATCTAAAACATGTCTGTGGCCCTCAATGAACCCCTGAAGTGCTCTGCTTTTCATTTTGCTGGCCAGCTATGTGCAGACTCAGCAGTGCTTCCATTCACTTTAGGCTCAGCCATCCCCAGTGCAAGAACACCCACAAACCATTCATTTACCTGTCCATATATTTGGGGTTAGTAGGAGAGAGCTACTCAGTAGGAAAAAGTAGGATCAGCATCCCTGCAGGACAACTTTCCACCAAAAATTCTTTTCAAACAACCCCTACACAGTGCATCCCTTCTGCAGAGCCCCTGGCACAAGTTACGGTGCCAGGGCAGGATAAGTGAGGGGGAAGC